ACCTGCTCTGCCCAGCATCGTCATGTGCTGGACCCTCGGCTTAGCTTGCTCCAGAGAAGCTGCCATTACAAAAGAAAACAGCTGGCATTTCTCATATCTGCAAGCTACAAATGCAATATAAATTTGGAGTAAATTGCAGTCCCAACTTTCAAAAGATTTGCTAATCAGACTTTGAGTCAGAGATGCTCAATTGTTCTGTTATTCAAAGGATCTCTCCTCACTATACTTCCCACCCTGCCACATAGTCCTTCTTACCTAAATTGCTCATGGATTCCAGAAGTGTATTCCTGAGTTAAGGGCTGATCCATCTCAATAAACCCTGGGAAAACCTTCACGTGGGATTGCACACGTAGGTCTCTGTTGATAAAGAGTCCCCTTTGTTGGGCAGTTTTAAAGGTTTGTTATCTAGGTACGTGTTCCTGAAGGAATATACTGCATCTTGGTAGAATCTTATCAATTCCGTCATTCATTCAAAAACATTTGAGTACCAGCGCTGTGCCAGGCCCTGTTCCAGGTGTCTTGGATAGAGAGTGAGCCCCACTGACAAAGACTCCACCCAGGCAGAACTGGCTTTCTCGCAGAGGAGACCCCCAGTAAACAAGTAAACCAAGTCAGTCAGCTAGGTAGGAATCCTGTTATTTCCCTCTCCACATGCTCTCTCACTTCATCTCCTTCAGATCAGCTCATCTTCATGGTTGTTTTTTTCACGAGTGTCTACCCTTCTGGGTCTTCAGATGTCTATGCCTGTGTTGTCACCTAAGCTCAAGTATCCTCTGCTACCTCTCCGGACTCCTGTTCATCCTTCTGCTCTGATTTCAGTTGCCACTTCCTCCTGCTCTGTGTTGTCCTAACTGAACACCCATACTTTACAGTGTCCTGCTTTCATGGACTTGTCTGTCACCCCTCCTGGACTCTAAATACTTTAATGAGAGCATCTGTGTCTGATTTATCTTCGCATCTCCAGGGCCTAACATGGAGTCTTGTGAATGGGTGCTCAGTGTTTGCTCCAAGAATAAGTATTGAGTCTTATGGCCCCTAGTGGTGAGTGGTGGTATTACAGAAATTGCTTCAAGTGGAGGGATGTTAAGTCTGGGAAGGAAAGCTTAACCCCAGTTCTGAGATTTTTTTTGAGAAGCTCAGCATGTGCACTGTTATGAATAGAGGAGTTAGGCTAGGATATAGGTAATGATGATGGAAGAAAGGTGGCATGGAACATTCTGATGAGTCTTTGAAGGACATTTAGAAATTTGAAGTTCCTAGCTCTAGGTTAGAACTGGAGGGATACCAAGGATGCTGGGTTTTATAGCTAATGGCCACTTGGGGTGCAGAGAAGCTGCGGCTTAACCAGGTTCCAACAGCTAGTTAGTTGTAGATCAGGAGGAGGAACCAGGCGTCCCAGTTCAGAAGGCTCTCCACTATGCTGGGACTGAGGTTTGTGACAGATAAGGAAACAGGCACAGAGAGGCAAAGTAACTTGCCGCAGATCACACAGCTAAGCTAGTAAGTGGTGGAGCCTGAGTCCAGACATAGATCTGTCTGATGACAGAGGCCAGCTGGTAACCACTAAATTGTCTTGTCTCTTCATGGAGATTCTGAAATGCATGGTCTTAACACATGTTCAGTTTTCTTCTTTTGTTAGTTAAGTCATTATAGGAAGAGAATATTAACATGTTTTCTTTCTATTGAAATGTCATTGTGCTTTTCAGAAAAACATTCACATTCTTCAACTATTAAAATCAAAGTCCCTGAATTATTTACTATGTGTCTACACATGTAGTATATCTAAATAACATGAAGAAGGTTTTGTTTTTCTTTACCACTACATTAAAAATATTTCTATGTACTTCACTTAAAAATAATTATTTTGTACTATATTGCCATGAATGAAAATCTGTTCCTTTAATCTGGTGCACACCAGCTTTATAGTCAGTGAATTTAATCAGAACATCCTTACCTGTGTGGGTTTTGCATCCAGTTCCAGCAACTGTTGACATAGGGACTAGAACATTTTAGAAATGATTCTTTCTCAACACAGAAAAGGTAAATGACTAGTTTGAGTTTCAGAATGAGTTGATGGAGGAATAAAATAGAAGCTTTTCTACTGCATACTAGATTCACTAATATTACTAACTGTGTTCACTTAGCAGTCTAAAGCCCAGATCCTGGGACATCAGCCTGTTTTAACACAGAGAAATGCTTCTGTCGGGGGAGGGGAGGAGAGTCAGGGAAAGGCAAGAGGAGGGTCGACATGATTGTTTCTAGGTCATTTCCAACTTACTGTTATAACACCGTTTTCTAGGTGGAAGATCATATGCTCATTAAAGTGAAAGTGTTCATTTTAAAATAAAGCAATAGGAACCTCAAACAGCTCTGTTACGTAGACAACTGAGCATACATAAATGGACTTAAGTTTTTTTTATCATGCTCAGTCCTATTCTGTATTAAGGCAAATAACAAGATATTTATACATAAAACAGTGTGTTGTTCATTTAACTTTAAAAGCCACTGATTAGAATAATAATCAGTGTTTCCATGTAGTACTATATTCATAGAAATACTGATACTGCAGTGGGTAGAGATAATAGAATGGTGCCCTTTACCTCTTTATGTAATCTAGCTTTTAAAATGCACCCTAATTCATAAATGATGAAGAAAACAAGCAACAGTATTCAAATGAGATATTCTGGGTAATTGAATTCTTAGCATAAATTACAAATTCCCATCTTTTCCCCATTTTTCCCCCAATTTATTTACTTATTTATTTATTCAGTCCTCACCGAAGGGTACTTTTTTATCGACTTTTTTGTTGTTGTTGTTAGATAGAGTGGGAAGGAAGGCAGAAGGGAGAGAGAGAGAGGAAGAGAGAAATTGATGTCAGAGAGAGAGACATATGGATTGGTTGCCTCCTGCATGACCCCTACCAGGGCTGGGGATTGAACCCGAAACTGAGGGATCTGCTTTTATTTAATTTTGACTGGGATGCTCTAACTGCAGAGCCAAACCGACCAGGGCCCAAATTTTTTTTTATGGAATGACCTTTGGTACCAACTTAGTTTACAATAAAATGTTTCCTGGGTTTTCTGTTTTTTTTTTTTTAATTATAATGGCCTTTTCTGTCGAGTGTGATATTTATAAAAGTTTCTTTGATGAAAAGCCTATGAATTTTGTGCAAATAAACCAGGAAGGCTCTCAGATTAGTGATAACATTTGTAGAGGACTTTTATGGCTTTATATGATACTTTCACCCTCAGTTTGCTGGGCCCTTACCTGCGAGACGTCAGTAGAATTCATATTCTGCTGATGAGAGCAGTGCAGAGGAAGGTACCTCGGCACGGTTCTGCGTACATAGCAGGTGTTCAACATGTACACTAGGAAAAAAAATGAACAAAGGAAACCCAACACCCAACAGGTTATTTCACTTACTCAGGCTCACCCAGCAAATACAGTGTCATGCCAAGAACTGCACTTGCTTCTCTGCGCAAACCTTCCACGTGTCATTGTCTCATTGCTCTCTTTTCGAGCATTTTAAAAGATCGAATTAAAAATATCCATTTTTCTTAATTGAGGTGAAAGTCACAAATGCATGAGCTTTTATTTTAAATTGTAATAGCCTCTCTTCTGTCATCACTGCCTTAATCATAGCCCATCTCCTGTGTTCATAACAGTGCTCACAAAGTGAGCCATTTTAAAGCCTGCATTTCAGAGGGACTTAGTCCATTCGCAGGGTTTTACAGCCATCACCTCTATCTAGTCGAAAATGTTTGGATCCTCCCCCAAGGAGACCCATTTAGTCACCCTAATCCCTCCTGACTCCCCAGCTGCTGGGAACTACCAGTCCGCTTTCTGTCTATAGATTTTCCTGTTCTGTATATTTCGTGTCAGTGGAATCTCACAGTGTGTCACAGTCTTGGTCTATGCAGGCTGCCGTACTAGAACACCGTAGCCTAGATAGTTTAGGAACAACAGAAATTTCTCTCTCGTAATCCTAGAGGCTGGGAAGTCCAAGAGCAAGACTTGGGTAGATTTGGTGTCTTGTGAGGGCCTGCTTCCTGGTTCGTAAACGCGCTCTCTGGGGTCTCTTTTATGAGGGCACTCATCACTTCCAATGGTTCTGCCTCCTAGTGCCATTACACTAGGTTAGGATTTCAACATGTGAATTTTGAGGGGCCATAAACATTCCTGCAATTGTAGTGACCCCTCGTGTCTAGCTCCTTTCATTTAACATAGTGCTTTCAAGATTAATTTATGTTGTGGCATGTATCAGTGCTTTATTACTTTTTATGGCCGAATTATATTCCGTTGTAGGGACAGGCCATGTTTTGTTTATCTATCAGTTGATGGACATTGAGCTATTTCCATATTTTGGCAGTTGTGAATAGTGCTGCTATGAACATTCGTGTTTGAGCATTTGTTTGAATACCTGTTTTCAGTTCTTAGGAATGGAATTGCCAGGTTGTATTATATTTCTATGTTTAACTTTGTGAGGAACCAACAAACTGCTTTTCATTTCCTACCAATAATGTATAAGGGCACCAATTTGCCCACATCCTTTTCAATGCTTGTTATTGCTGTAACTTTCCAAGTGGGTACGGAACGGTATCTCCTTGTGGTTTTGATTTGCATTTCCCTGATAAAATATTCATATTTTAATGCATAGAATTAATCATAAAATGAGCTTTGGTAAAAACAAAACAAAACAACAACATCAAAATGAGTGGTTTCATTTGTCTTCAGGAGATTACTTAAGACTGGGTGCACAATTCCGGGCTGAAAAATAAAGAACATGTTGCTTTGGGATTAGAAGGATGTATTTGGACAATAAGATCCCAATCATCCCCTAAGTTTTTAAAATTACTGTTTAAACTAATGAGGCAAAATAAGAAATTACATCATGTTTTGTTTTCATGCCACCCACCAAAAGATACTTAGTTATTTGCATTGCAAAACTCTCTCTATATCATTCTCACGTGTCTCAATGGCCTGTTCGTTTATTTTTGCAGTGTGAGTGAAGACATCCAGGATGGCTCAGGGATCCGGGGATCAAAGAGCAGTGGGGACTGCGGACCCAGAGGACAGTTCTCCAAACATGATAGTCTACCGCAAAGTAAGGCATCTGGTTAACTGCTGAGATGCTGTGTGTGTGTGTGTGTGTTCTGTGTAGGGCTGACCGATGGTTGACAGCTCGATAAATGTTTTCTGCCTGAACTGCCTTGACTGATAAATGAATATCGTTTTCTTCTCATATCCTCTGGTTTTCCGGTTCTCAAATGGAAGGAAGTTAGGTCTTGTCATACTTGGTATTGAATTCTTGGAAAAATATTATGTGATTTTGTTTTCTCTAAACTCAAAGATCACCTAAGCAATACAGACAGAGACATATCCTCCTTTGGTATAAAGGCCTACTGTAACATTTATTAATTGAATGTCCTTTGAACCCGTATTATGTCTAAGAACTGGTTTAGATGCTGTGGAAGATACAGAGGTATGTATGTATTAGATGTTTACAGTTGGTGAGAGAGATAAGATTACACTTATGAAAAACTGTAATACAGTCTAAGTGTTCATTTCCAAAAGAGAAGTGCAGGTAGATGGTTATATATCCCAGAGGAGGGGAGATTACCTCCAGCCTCAGAGGTCAGGGAAGGGCTTTTGGAGGAAATGGTCTTTGAAATCAGTTTCAAAAGATGGGTAAGATTGCTTCTGTGGAAAGAACACTCTAGGTAGTGAAATGTGTTCTGCAAAGTCAAAGAGCTGGAGAAAGCGGACAGCAACCAGAACTGGTTAGCTTGGGCGTAGGGTGAATTGCTAGAAGTAAATGGAGTAAGATTTTGGGAAGACAGGCTGGATGGAGCCAGATTTTACAATGTAGAATTAGAGGCAATTTAATCATGGAAAACTTTTGTGCTGGAAGTTGTAAAATCAGCATCTGTTTGGGATTACGAGTCTTGCCCCCGAGTGGCAAATGCACTGTTATCAGGGTAGAGCGGAGCTCCAGGAGGGCTCTATCTGCATCTATCTAAGAAAAGTAAGGAGGACACTAGTCTGCAGGGAACATGCCCTTCAGAACTGAGCAGGACTGAGCAGAGGGATTAAATAGTCTGAATTAAAAATGAGTTGGAAACTGAATGAATATGGACTAGAGAATCAAAGATAACTGTTGTTGTTGTTGTTTTACCTTGGGTTATAGAAAGACACTGATGTTAATTCAAGTAGAGACATTTGGAAGAATACATTGTAAAGGAAGAAAATACAGCACGTACCTTTTATTTGTGCACATACTGAATTTAAAGAACTCACTATTTCTTCTTCTGTACCTTTTTAATGTTTGTGAAAATTTAACCTAACTATGTTACCTATTAAGGAAAATGAATTAATGTTCATTCATTTTACTAAATATTTGAGTTGCCTTCTGGGTTCTGTGTATTCTGCAAGACTGTGTTGGATCTCTGTTAATCATATGGGCAATGTTGAACTAGATATTTCTGGATGATCAGTTTGGTGATTATTTTTTCTTTCCACGTAAAAATAGAACTCTCAAGCTATTCCTGCTTTGAGTACCATATTCCTTAATTCTTTGCTTTGCAAGAGAATGCTTCGATGACCTGTTTCTAAGGGAGATGCTTATTAACCTGTGGTAAAGAAAAAAATTGTTTAACAGAGCTAGCCAGTTAGTGTATCATACAAAATAATAGGAAGATTTTTATTCATTATTACCTTCTTAAGTGACCCCAAACAGGGAGATCCAAGAGGTTTGGAGTCAGACCTGGGTTCAAGTTGCAACTCTGCTACTTCCTAGAGGTGTGACCTTGAGTCACTTATTTAACTTCTGTGAGCCTCAGTTTCTTCATCTATAAAAAGAAGAAGGATAGCTTGGGAGGAAGGATAGTACCTCGTGGGGTTATTGTGAAGATTCATTTAAATGAAGTACACAAAGCATCTTACATCCTGCTTGGCCTGGAGGTGGTCCATAATGAATGCTTCTTTTTCTTTTATCTTTAGGTCTTGTAGAGACAGTGACACTGGAGAGGAAATAAATTATAAAATGTATAAATGTCGATGTTGTTAATGAGTTGACTGAAGTACATTCATATAGTGAGTTGCTTTTTTTAAAGACACAAGAAAACATTACACATAGATTTAGTTTATTTAAGAGATTGCAAATCAATGGATCATTAAAGATTAATAGGAAATATGAAGGTCATGCAATTCGAACACCTTTCTCCTGGAATGTTTGCTGTTACGTTGAAGGGAAAACTTTCTACAGATTTGTGGGAACTTAATTTTCACTTTTTAGGCAGTAGCAGGGGACTCTTTTTGGTTTAATTTAGAGGCAAAGTTGTGCCCTGGCTGGTTTGGCTCAGCAGTTAGAGCATCGGCCTGCGGTCCAGAGAGACTGGGGTTCAGTTCCCACTAAGGGCACGTACCTTGGTTGCAGTTTGTCCCCGGCCCTGGTTGGGTCATGCACGTGGCAGCCACTCGATGTGTCCCTTTCACATTGATGTTTCTCCCTCTCTCCCCCTCCTACTCTATCCGAACAAAAAATGGAAAAATGTCTTCAGGTGAGGATAAAAAAAAAAAAAAGGTTTAGAAGCAAAGTTGTTAATTGCTGTAGGTCTTCAAAGAAATGACCACTAGTCACTAGTTTTCTATATTGGAAATATGTCTTGCTTCCTCATGACAAATTTGTGGGTAGGGGTATGTATGTGCTCATGCTATTTGACATATTAGTTAATTGCTATAAAAGGGATATTGGATCTGTTTACTCTATTAGAAAGAAGACATACTTATTGCCAGTATGAAATCGTTTCAACCTAGTTAAGATGACTAACTTAAGCCATGGTTGTGTTGGAATCATGGGCTATTCATCCAGTCCTCTACTCTCAGTACCATAGACTGTTGGCTATGGCCGAGACTTACCTACTGCAGGATGCTCTCCTCAAGGTGTAGCTAAAGATTGATCCTTGCAACCAAGGTCAATTCAAACATTTACTATGGACATCCTCTGTGTAACGATTTATTCAAGGTTGTGGCTATAAAACCAGACCTCTACTTAGAGGTCTACAATAAAAATTCACATTTAAAACAACTGTGCAAACAGTGCTTTCACTTTTGTTTTCTTTCTCTTGTGTGTTGTCTCTTTCTCTTGTCAGACATTTTCAGTGTGAAATTTTTGCTTGGACTATGTTGTGTTGATTCAGAGGCTGACATTTAAAAACCCAAATCTAGAGAAAAGGAGCTTTTTGGGTAAACTTCCGAGTAATAAGCAGCATGATTATTCCATAATGTTGTTATGACTTTTAAATGCCATTTGGGGTGGTAACCTTCTGACATATGAGTAATAATGGGTGGGTAAGAGAATACGCTTACTTTTCTTTATATGTTTTCTATGTCATTAACTGTGAGAAGTTGTACTTTCCCAGGTGTGATTTATATATTGACTTGAACAGGCTTTCTAATTTAGTGATTCATCCTTCATATTCACATTTTGGATTGGAGGTGTGTATGAAAAATGCATTGGTCCCATTAAAAATCTATTTAAAAGAAAAGCTTAATTATTCATTAAGTCGCCTGGACCTGTTAACCTTTTTTATATTCCTAGATCCAAAAGATCCTGGGTCATTGAATTGCCCAATATAGTGATATCTGAACCTGGCTGTATATGAGATCATTTATAAAAATTATAAAAATACTGCTCCTTAAAGGACCTCTTCCCCAAACATATTTTCATTTAATAGGTCTGAGGTTTGGGTCCTAGGAATCTGAGTTTTAAAATGTAGTTACCTCAAAAAATTAAAAATGGAACTTCCTTATGACCTAGTGATTCCACTTCTGGGAATATATCTGAAGAAACTCTAAAAACACTAACTCAGAAGAATATATGCACCACTATGTTCACAGCAGCGTTATTTACAATAGCCAAGATTTGGAAGCTACCCAAATGCCAATCAGTATGTGAGTGGATAAAAAAGCTTTGGTACATTTACACAGTGGAATACCACTCCGCCATAAAAAAAGAAGGAAATCTTAACCCTTTGCGACAGCATGGATAGACTTGGAGAGTATTATGCTAAGTGAAATAAGCCAGTCAGAGAAAGACAAGTACCATATGATTTCACTCATATGTGGAGTCTAATGAACAAAATAAAATAACAGACAAAATAGAAACAGACTCATAGGTAGAGACCAGACTGACAGCTATCTGAGGGGAGGGGGTTGTGGGGCTGGGTAAAAAAAAGTGAAGGGATTAAGCAAAAACAACACAATACAACCATAGACACACACACACGCGCGCACACACACACACAATGTTTTCAGGAGACTCTGATACCCAACTAAGTTTAAAATGCACTTATTTAGCATCTTTTACAATATCCAGGTGGAGTACACATTGTAAAGAAATGGGGAAGTTGGTGTTTGGAAGTGGGTTTTTAATTTTTTAATTATCTGTAGATGTCTCAAGATGTAGAAGAACCAGGCTTTTGTCATAGAGTTAAAATTTGGTATTTTAGTAGCTTCATCTTAAAGATTTTCTAGGTCAACACCCTCATGTTATAGGTGAGAAAACTAAAGTATGGAGAGGATGAATAATGCTCAAAGTTGCTCAGCAATTTCCCAAGTAGCCTGCCTGCCCCCCATCAGCATCCTTTCTACCACCCTGTCGTCAACCACAACCAACCACCACCACAGTGTTCCAGCTCAATCAGACACTGGTGTAATTAAGTAGATGAAAATACTGTGCAGCACATCTTTGGTTTTTATACTTAGTCTTGGAGAATTGACTTGGGTTAATCTGAACATTTGTGATGCCAAACCTTCCTTCCACTTGGTAGTACTCTTGAGTAAAGACTTTCTGGAATGTGCACTCTTTTATAAGGAGAACATTTTTTGAGTATGAGTAGGTTACTTTCTGATTTTGTTTGGCCCCTAGTGGTGTTAATAATGTCTCTTGACAAACTTCCAAATAGACTGGTAATTCGATTTGGTAGAACATTGGGCTATTAGATGGTAGGTGGACAGAGATAATTGTAGGTTAATGTGACCCAGGCTTGGGTCAGGAGGTGGTGCAGTGTGGTGAGAGATGCCCGACAGGGAGCTGAGGGCTCT